TTTAAAGGAAAGAATTGACACAAACAAAAGTAAAGTAGAAAATTTATCTGAATATTGAAATCGTGTTTTATAAAAGTTATATGATCCAAAAAGAAAGACAGTGAAGAATTTGTAAAAATTGTGAACTTAACTACCTGAAAAGAATCTGATGGAGCATTTATTGAAGAAATTATCAACCGATGAATAACTGCTAAAATTACACGAAAAAGGTACAAGTAATGAAAGGAGATTGTTTTGTAAAAACTCTGCTTAATGTTGCTACAACTTTAACCGGTTATAAGATTAAGGAAAGTATCGATGCAAAGAAAGAAATACTATTACAAAAACACAAAATTAAAAAGTTGAAAAAAGAAACATTCCCATCTTACTGATCGTTAAATTTTTTTGTTTTTGTAAGGTTATAAAATCGGTTTCTTCATCAGAGTAAATTTTCATGGTAAATGTATAATTTATATTACTTCACTCTCCTGATTCCCTGATGCATTCATCGTGTATAATTATTATAACAATTAATTTATTTCCGGTGATGTGACGAGTAGCATTTAGTTCAACCAACTAAATCTGATTTCATTTAAATCTACCGATAACGCAAATGACTGTTCAAATGAATAGAATCTTGAATAGATAGGATTTATTGATAAATGGCCCCAAATTCATCAGGCGATGAAGCACGCATTTTTAACCTTGTGAAAGCTTGAAAACCCTCGACGATGGTGGATACAAAGGTATGCCAGGGTGGGCTGATTGTGGGGCAAAAGGGGGGGAGAGGAACGCGACTTTTATCTGAAAACTTACTTCGAGTTTGATAAAACTTGTATGATCAAGGAAAAAAGATGTTGGAAAATTAGTAAAGATTCATTCACTTAATTCTTTCCCTCAATATCGATCGCTGTATCTCCGAACACAAAATGAAACATTACACAGACGCACGCATATACCCCTACTTTTACTCCCTCCCGTAACGCCCTCCTACTCGCTCTCGTGGTAGTGGTGTGATCACGTTTCCACGTGCTTCCGGTATTTGAAACGGTCCACGTGAAATTGACATAATTGTCCCCGTTTCCAAGGTACACAAATGCATCACAAGGGCAGACGGCGGATTCCGGTCGGACATATAACTGTCGAATATTTCTTCAATATCCGTAGAAATCAGAAGTGATTAATTTTAGTAAATGCATGGTGACAGGAACATTTTCTGTGTGAAGAATGGTATTACAGATAGACCAAACACTTTGGATTTACTGATTTCTTACCGAATTGTGGAGAGAGAGAGAGACAGAGACGGACAGATATTCATTTTGTTTACTTAATTGTGTTTATGCATTACACGCCTGTGACTGAACATACAGTCGCTGATATCAACTGTGAATAACGGACTTGATGATGACATTTGAAAAGGACTATCATTCACTGTTCAACTCAGGGAGATAGCAACACGCAACAAAGGGAGGTGACCAATCCATGCCATGCCATCTCAAAGGAACCGAACCTAAGGACACTCAATTCATTTTATGTTACGATACAGTCCTGGCCTCATTAGTTGTTTATCTATTCTATTTCCAAGCAATTTCCAGAACAGATAAAAAAGATTAATTCCAAAGACTAGACCTATATAACTCATCAGGATGCTGACATCAAGGAAATCTGCCCATGGGTTTGCTCTGAGCCTTTGTTTGCTGGTCACCAGAACTGCGCTTTGCTCTGGTGGTAAGTGTATTACAACAGCTTTGAACGGAAACGGTAACGGCATTTATATTCTTCCATTTTCGGTAGACTTTATGGAAAAAAAGTAGCAGATTCGTATATAAATTGTGTTCGTGTAGGATAAACAAACTCTTTGTAATTTCAATTATGTGTAACTAATTAAAATTAGTTTAAACCACCCAACATTAACTAGTATGATAGTTGCATTGTGAATGTACCCTTGGTTTTGAACAATGTTAACCACCCCCTCCGACATTTCAATTGCCAGGTGACAGTTGCCCGTCCACCATTGGGACAGAGCACCAGGGATTTGTCCACCGGTCCCAGTGTTATCAATTTGTGAACCGTAAGGAGTGGTGGGGAACGGCACGCGACTTCTGTGCCAGGAAAGGAGGTCACCTCATACAGTTAGACAATGCTGAATTGGCGGCGTTCATCAAGGACAAACTGAGAGGCAATTTCGGGGACTGGGACAAGGTTTGGATAGGAGCAAATGACAGAGGGACGGAGAACAAATGGATATGGGATGGCTCAGGTGGGAATTCTGAACTATTTTGAGATTGATAATATTGATGTATAATAGATAGAAATAGACGTCAGATGTCAATTTAGTGCTTACCTGTTGGACTTGGTGTGATTCCTGCACGTTTATAGGGCTGAAAGGCATTTGTGAACTTCATGAGAATAATGTACTTACATGTACAATATTGGGGATTTTCACTGTGACAATTTGAGACCTTCATTATTTCTGAAGAAGGCTTATCAGATCACATTGATGAACAAATTGATATGAAAAAGCGGACAAGGACAATTTTACTTCAACCATGTATGTCTCTTAGATCTCCTCATTTTGTTATACTGCTTATAAAATAGCGGATTTATTTCAGACGAAGAGATCTCTTACAGCAACTGGGGTCAGGGACAGCCCGCAACCTCAATCATTGTTGGTCCGTTCGAAGACTGTGCCACGATGGAGAAGGCAGACGATTACCGCTGGCACGATCATGCATGTGGCATCGTGGGACAGGCGTATCAATTTATTTGTCAATATGGTAAGAAAGGGAAGTACTCCTGTAATTTAAATCAGTGACAAAATGTGTCAACTATGGAGTTGTCGGCGACGTTGACATATATTATAGTTGCACACAGACTTGATCAGATTCATATGTGAGTGCGAATGTTGAACGAGATTGAGATCTCTCGTAGTGTGACCAAGAATGATTTGAGAATCTGGAATGTCAGGGAAGGTTTGATATAAGGTCTTGTACGATACATTCACAGTTTTACTGTAGACAGATGGGCTCTTACCGGTGTGAATTCTTGAGTGTAGCAGAAAAGTAAAATGTTGTACATGATAATGTAAACCCAGTAAACGGGCATACACAATGATTGCTGATGCAAGGAGAGAGAGAGGGGAAGAGAGAGAGAGAGTGGGCGAGGGAGGGGATCCAGGGAAAAGAAAGTCTGTGTTCTATGTAATTTCCTCAGGTTTATAACACGTGCCATGGCCTGTTTTTCGTGGTTCATGTTCAAAAAAGGCATGCTTGTTGTTTCACAGATGCCGTTAATAGGACCACGACCACAAGTACCACTACTTCATCAACAATAACAACAGAAACAACAACAGGGACAAAAACGGCAAAAACAACAACAACAACAATAAGGGATCCATCATCAACAACCGTCGCACCACCTGCGGCAGGCAACAGAACAGCTGGGAACCACTCAACACCATCAGCCTTGTTGTCCAAAACAACAACAACTACCATGACAATTCCATTATTATCATCATTAACACCAGTCGTACTACCATCGCCAGGCAGCAAAACAGCTGGGCACCACCCAACAACATCATTTCAATCAGCACGTGACAGTTGCCCGTCTACCATTGGGACAGAACACCAAGGGTTTGTCCACCGTTCCCAATGTTATCAATTTGTGAACCGTAAGGAGTGGTGGGGAACGGCACGCGACTTCTGTGCCAGGAAAGAAGGCCACCTCATACAGTTAGACAATGCTGAATTGGTGGCGTTCATCAAGGGCAAACTGAGAGGGAATTTTGGGGACTGGGACAAGGTTTGGATAGGAGCGAATGACATAGGGACAGAGAACAAATGGATATGGGATGGCTCAGGTGAGAATCCCGAAGCATTTTGAGACTTATGATTATGATGTATAAAAGATGACAAGTAAGTGTTAGATATCGACTTAGGCTTACCTGTTCAATTTTGTGTGATGCTTGCACGTTTATATTGCACAAAGGTATTTCTGAACTTCATAAGAATGATGTAACTACAATATTGTGTTTTTTCAGTGTGACAGCTTCAGCACTTCATTAGTATTTGAAAGGCGTATCAGATCATATTGAAGAAGAAATTGATATTAAAAACCTGACGATGACTATTTTACTATAACCTCATGTATGGCATTTGGAGTTTATTCTGTTATACTGTTTATTAAATGGCGAATCACAAAGGCTCCTGTTCCCCACCCCTTGAGACGCCATTGTGGTTGGCCCTTCTTTAAGGGGGTCGTTTTCATGGAAAGTATTTTCACACAACAAAATAACAATTTCAGACGAAGAGATCTCTTACAGCAACTGGGGTCAGGGACAGCCCTCAATATTTGTCGGTCCGCTTGAAGACTGTGCCACGATGGAGAAGGCAGATGACTACCGCTGGCACGACCATGCATGTGGCATTGCGGGACAGGCATATCAATTTATTTGTCAATATGGTAAGAAAGGGAAGTACTCCTGTATACGTAGCACTATTATCTTCTTATTAGCGGAGGGGAATCTAATTTAAACCAGTGACAAAATGTGTCAACTCTGGAGTTGTCGGCGACGTTGACATATGTTATTGTAGTTGCACACAGACTTGATCAGATTTAAAGATAAGTGCGAATGTTGAACGAGATAGAGATCTCTCGTAGTGTGACCAAGAAAGATTTGAAAATCTGGAAAGTAAGGGAAGGTTTGATATAAGGTCTTTTACGACTCATTACAGTATTACTGTAGACAGATGGGCTCTTTACGAGTGTGGATTCCTCAATGCAGTAGAAAAGTAGACTGTTATATGATAATGTAAACCCAGTAAACGGGTATACACAATGATTGCAGATGCAAAGAGAGGGAATGGGGTGTGGAGGGAAAAAAGAGTCTGTGTCCTATGTAATTTCCTCAGGTTTATATAACGTCAGGGTCTGTTTTTCGTGGTTCATGTTCAAAATAGGCATTCATTTTGTTTTACAGATGCCGTTAACAGGACCGCAACCACAAGTTCCACTACTTCATCAACAATGACAACAGAAACAACAACAGGGACAAAAACGGCAAAAACAACAACAACAACAATAAGGGCTCCATCATCAGCAACCGTTGCACCACCTGTGCCAGGAAACAGAACAGCTGGGAACCACTCAACACTATCAGCCTTGTTGTCCAAAACAAACACCACAACTACTGCTACTACTACTACTACTACTACTACTACTACTACTACTACTACTACTATGGAAACTCCATCAGCATCAACACCTGCCGTACCACCTACGCGACATGCCAAAACAACTGGGCATCATCCAACACCATCTGCCTTGTTAGACAAAACAACAAAAGCAACAACGAAAACCTCAACAGCAATACGGACGAGTCCATCATCATCATCAACGCCTGTGGCACCATCAACACCAGATGCATCACGCTACACCTGCCCGCAGAATTTGGAACCGAACTACCAAACATTTACATACAGGGACCATTGCTACCAGTTTGTTACCAAGGAGGATTGGAGGTCAACTGCACGAGAATATTGCCGAAAATACCAGGGCCACCTCATAGAGATACCCGATCAGAGTACCATGGACTTTGTAATTGATGTACTAAATAAGAAACTAAAGTGGGGTGTAAACGGAGTTTGGAATGGAGCGACTGACCAACGCGAAGAAGGAGTTTGGGAATGGGATGGTTCAGGTAGGCAATGACCACATTGTGAATAACGCAGATTAAACACAGACTGAACACACGTGCACACTCGAAATCAATCATACAACCCATCTTTCCTTCACACATTATTTCTCTCTCTCTCTCTCTCTCTCACACACACACATACACATACACACGCGCGCGAGCACACACATATACACATCCTATGTACAGTATTCACAATTCTTTACGCACTCAAATTCTTCCGAAGATTTGTGGTTAATTTAAATCCATGTTTTTTTATCAAGCCTGAAGGTAACAATAGCTATATTCTGAAATACTACACGCAATTATTTATCATCTTCTTAAAGACAATCCTGTAATCTACTCAAACTGGGCACAAGGTCAACCCGGTGGTCTTGCAAGGTGGACGGAGGACTGCGCATGTATGAGGAGGACGGACAACTGGCAATGGCACGACTATGGCTGTAGTCAGCCAGGTTACAGCTACAGATACATTTGTCAATATGGTGAGCTGAACCGCCGTTTTATTCAATTAACTGAAGATAGAAGATAAAGGGAGACGTGTATGGGTTGGTTGTTGTCCTATCTTTGTCTAATAGCAGTAACAATGTGTGTGTGCATTTTATACCTTTCAAATTAATGGCAGCATCACTGCTGCTCAAAATAATGTATATATGTGAACTAAAAGATTAATTTTTTTTTTCAGATTTAGTGGAAAATATCACCACAAATAGTTTGCTGTTATCTACTCAGACAGTGACACCAAGGCTAGAAAGCACAAGCAAAACGAAACAGCAGTCATTACCACCGACAGCACTGATATCAAAGGCACCTTTGTCAGCAAACAGAACGACACCCAAAAAACCTCTTTCAACAAGAACAACAATCCGAACAATAACAGCAAAGCAGTCGCCGTCTATTTCAAGAAAGCCATCTTCGTCTTCATACCATCAAACCTCTGTCACGACACCGTCATCAACTCCAACCAGTGTAAAATCATCAACATCGCGAACCAACCCGCAGATTGACGTCTCGCCATTCCCAGTGCAAGGGCGCACGTGTCCCCAAACATTGGGGACAGAACATAAGACCGTGGTTTATAACGGTTCCTATTGCTACCAGTTTGTTGATAAGAGCGTCACTTGGAACGATGCTTTAGATTATTGTCAAAGGAGAGGCGGCGCGCTGGTTGAGATATATGGGCAAGAAACTATGGACTTTATCGCAGAGGTCCTCAGGAGGAATTTCAGTTGGAATGCCGTGTGGATAGGTGCAAGTGACGAGGAGAAGGAAGGGGAATTTAAATGGAGAGGGTCAGGTATGAAAATAGGTCTTTCTCTGTTTCTCCCTCTCCCATTGTTTTCATATGTCCTTTTAGAATCTAACAGTACCCAAGCTTAGCTTAGCTTTTCGCGTAAGAAGCAAAGCACAGTAAACATCCTATAAAGTTACATGGGAAGGTCCTAGACTTTGACTATGAAGACAACAAAATATATAAAAAGTTGAAACAAACAAACAAAAATTTGGGATACAACACTCAAAATAACACATTTTGAACACAAACATGTATGTGGTGTAATTTTGGATTCCAGGCAGAGAGGTGACCTACTCAAACTGGGCACCCGGCCAACCCTCGGGGATCTGGACATTGGGCCTTGAAGACTGCGTGGCCCTAGAGAAGGCTGACGGCTATAAGTGGCATGACTATCACTGTAGCATTGGTACACAGAAACTGAAATTAATTTGTCAATACGGTAAGTCTTTCGCTATAAGTTGGTGCCAAAGATTGACTTACATAGTTTTCCACCAATGGTCTGGAGTGATCTGTGACCTTAACTTGTTCATTTAGTGTTTGCATGATCTTTGGCGATGACACTATCGTTATCTACTTGTACATACTGAGACACATTTAGATGTCTGTGTGGCTTTCCGGTGAATTTGTCTTGACGCCTGAACAGTGGTGCTTTTGCAGCCCTCTCTAGTATTAACCTTGGTGTACCCAAGTTTAGACATTTTTGGAGTTTACATGTTTTAAAATTACATATTAGATAAAGGTAGAATTATGTATTTTAATCTACTTTTATTTGGGGTTGTTTTTTAGTTACCAAGGTTAGATTCATCACCAAATGACAAAATTCCCTGGTTCTTAAAACGTTAAATCTTAAGTTAAAATAACATATTTGCCTGCTTAATATACGAAACCATCTTGCAGAATGGTATATGGTCAATACCACATGATTAAATTTCTTGTTCTTTTACTGAATTTGTTTTTAACATATTTCAGATTTAGTTGAAAAAAACACACCATCAGTAGAACAAACATCCATTGCTTCAGCGACAAAACATACACCAACTAGTGCAACATCAGGGTATATATCAACAACAACGACAACGTCGGAGACACCAACAGATACACCAATAACGGGTTCCTTGACGACAGCAGCTATGTCGGACACCACGTGTCCACCGGAAGTGCGTACAAATGAACGCCACGTGTACGGCGGTCAGTGTTACCAGTTTGTGGATCGTGCCGTCACGTGGGTTGGCGCTTTAAACGACTGCGAGGTCAAAGGTGGACGGCTACTTGAGATATATGACGAAGATACCATGAGATTTATCGCCAGGACACTAACTAATTACTATAGATGGGATACCGTTTGGACCGGAGCCAATGACAGAGGGAAGGAGGGTCAATTTATATGGAGAGGAACAGGTGGGCTACAGATAATTTTTAATAATCTTATGTCACAAAAAAGGAATAAGAAAGGAATAAGAACTCCAATGCATTAAAGTCGTCCTAGATTTCACTGTGAAGTATGTCCATACTTTCTTCATATCTTTATACAGTACATGTGTTCCTGTGTCTGTGTGTGTGTGCGTGTGCGTGTGTGTGAGAGAGAGATAGCATTTAATTTATATATAACTCACTTTCATCTTTCAGGCTGGGAAGTTACCTACACTAACTGGGCACCTGCTCAGCCGTCCGGTATCTGGGCATTTGGACTTGAAGACTGCGTGGCTTTGGTGAAAAATGATGGCTACAAGTGGCACGACTTTCACTGTAATATAGGAACGCAGCAGTTCAGGTTTATATGTCAGTATGGTAAGTTTTACTCTTAATTACTGATGGAATCTTTACAAAGGCGGATTTGGGCGGGAGGTTAGCGGCACGTGCTTTTTAGGTATCCTCTTTTAGCTTTTAAGGCACCCATTCTCCCCATTCTTCATCAAACATTTAACATTTTCTAAGATAACGAATTCAAAGAATAGAATCTTATACTGGATCTTACATGAAATAAATATCACAACGTTTCGACCGCACAAGGTCTGACCTGAGTTGTCACCGGTGTAACGTGGTGACAGTCCACACGGGATTTCAAATAAGTTCCATTATAAGATTGAATTATTTTCAATATCTAAATGAAATACAACTGGATAAAAAATACATTCATTTTGATATTTCACATTTTGCCACATATGGGGAAACTCGCTTTGAGGAGATTAGTTTGGTTTTTAATTCATATACAAAGATTTAAAACCGTAAATGTAGGATCACTTTTGTCACAGTCAAACTGTCAACATTTACAGGCCCTTTACCCACAACTTCGCCTTCGGTACCACTTACATCGTCATTGCCATCCCAGTCTAGCAGAAAGGGTGAGGTGACCTCGACTACTTCGTCGCCCCGAACAATGTTATCCCAGTCTAGCAGAAAGGGCGAGGTGACTTCGACTAGCACGCTACCCCAAACGACGGCTGTTGATACAGCAAAAGGTGCTTACATGTTTATGCATCTTAAAATATTGACACATTTATCTTAGTATATTTTAAACAATATTGACGGTATTATATGTATTGATTCAGTAATTCCACATTTTATAAATTAAGGCATTTGAAACTGCACCATTGAAGCTTGGACGAATATCGTAATTTAGAAGATGATTGAAGCGATGACATTAATGTATGGACCGGTATTGTCTTTTATGCTGAGTTGTTGTGACATGAGTTTTTATTGTTCATTCAGGACCTCTTTCACTGAAAAATCAAGACGAGCATGGGGTTTCAAGCTCAAACAACAAAGGTATTGGTGATTCTTTTGGCTTTTATTCAAAATCGTCATTGATAATTTTTCAAGTATTTTTGAAACTTTGCTTTTAAAGTGTATGATGTGGTTATCCGGATGCAACGTCACGAAACATATTGTCCAGAAGATGGATTATTATTTCGAAAAACGATACATATAAAGACTATTCTGAACTCTTAGATTCATCCAAGAAATCTCAACAACCTGTATATTCAACATCTAGGATATTGAATTTCTTATGCATGTTTGAACATTCTATATGTAAATCTATATACTGTAAATATATATTTCTAGCAACTTACCTGGGGATTGGAATAACCTGTGGGGCTGTTATACTGATAGTTATAGTGGTCATTGCGGTGGTGTGGCATTACAAAAGGTAATTGAATTGAACCTATCGTTCTATAGATCGATCCAACAAAGCGAGGACCCTCGCTGAATGCAGTCCGATTAAAAGATTAACAAACATCCTCCTGGCGTTGAGTAGATTACAGAAAGGCTGGTAATTATACGAATACTTTGGAAATAAGAGGAGGCGTGTTTATCTGTTTATCTGTTAACCCTTTCAGCGCGGGGTTGGAGAAATCTACGTAGAACAATAGTTTCATTGGGAATGAGCCCTTAGTCTTTTTTAAACATCTTTATTATCTTGAAAGGTTAAACATTGTTGAAGTGTAATTAAAGGTGGCAATTCGCTATGGCACTACACGCTCACCTTTGAAATATATCAAGTCGTTAAGTTACATTAAATAATAATAATAATAATATTTAAGGGAAAAGACAGTAACGAAGACATAAGTGACATTTGAGGGGAGTGAGGGACAGGGCATGGGGGAAAGGTATTTGTGGGGGGGGGGGGGCGGGGCAATAGGCCATCAGGAGAGGGTGGTCTTTGCGCACAGTGGAGACAAGGACCGAACTTTTGATAGGTTCTTTTGAAGCGTGAGAAACATATGGGAAGAAATTCGTGTCTCAGATTAATAGCCTAGTTCCTTGTATAACTACAATGTATGGGTCACTGCTCAGTTCAGCAAACACGCATAGCAGATGATAGGAATGTTGTGGGCAATATAGCTCAGCGCTGGCCATTTTTGCTCACAAATGAAAGTATATCTATGCCACAAACAAGATAAGGAAAAGCCTTTAACAATGTTAAATTTCCTTACAATTTTATATGGAAACAGAGTAAGAATTCGATTCAGGAATATTCTTTTTTTTTTTACTTTTTGTTTTAAAGTTTCATTAATTTCCCCACGCTATCTCATTTCTTACGTTAAAACGAAAGTGAGCAAAACATATATGACTTGTTTACAGACGTTCAGATTACTAGTTTTTGTGACAAAATGTTTTTTTTTTTCTTTACAGGAGAAACAAATACCCACGGTTTCAGGATAGGGTACAATTCAACAATAATCTGTACCAGCTTGACCAGGTATCTCTAGAGGTCTCAGAGGACCAAAACATGAACTCGAAAACAACAGAGAGTGTCGACAACATGTACTCCAAGCCGGACAAATTACACGGGAACTCCAACAGTGATAACACAGACGTTACTTCAATGCCGAATGAACTGTATGCTTGAGACCATCGGGTCGCCGATATCTTTACAGAAATGTCGCTGTTTTGCTATTTGAGATGTGTTTGTGTGTCGCCAAATTACGCCTGATGGGTGTGCTAATGATAAGTGTGCATAATGTAAATACGTCCATGTAAATATTATGTGCAATGTTGCATCCACCATATCAAGCATGCATATGTAATTCGTTACTGCGATCCATATTTATAGGTCATTTCGAGTACAGACAAACAGACACACACACACACACACACACACACACACACAGTGAGAGAGAGAGAGAGAAAGAGAGAGAGATCGTTGTATTTTGTTGTCGCTACTGCTGTAAACGCGCGTCGCGCCTGTCATCATGTTGTTTCACGGTTTTGCCATCAAATCCTGTCATACCTTCACAGTGCTCATCAGTTTAAGTACATTCTGTGTATACTGTTGTTAATCACTTTCACCTGCATGTGCCTTTGCTATATTCTCATTGCCAACATTTTTATACAGTCTTGCCAAAAAATAAAAGTTAAAATTCGAAATTTATTTTCTTCTTTGATGGTGTAAATAGAATGTTTTATTATCGGTGTTATATACGAGGGAGTTCCCTGTAATGTAGGGCCCGTTATGCATCAATTTGCGAGGGCAAGCCCCAAGATTATGAACATCTCACGTCATCCGAACACGAACCTGTATGAATCTAATGCATGGCGGACTCTGTTTCACGGTACCTCAGTTTTTTTTTTTCTAGAAAAACGACCTTAGAGTAAAAAAGGACCCCAACACCTGACAGTTGTTTTGTGGGGGAGATAAATCAATATAACAGTTTACGCGGAAATCGATTGACAAAGGCAGAAGCCATAATTAGCTATATTCGGAACATTTTTCAAGATACAAAAATACAAGCTAACAATAGTCTCTTCATAGAAATCTTTGTTTTATCTGTCGTATTCTGTGGACATGATGAATCTGCTGTCTAATAACAGTTGTTTCCTAATCAAGATAAACTCGGCTTTTGTCGTCACACAGTGCTTTAACCAGGCAGGTGGTTCTCCGCTTTTTAGGTAATAATAATAATAATAATAATAATAATAATAACGCTTGATATGATAATGGAATAACGACGAGAAGATAATTCACCGTCAAGATTGTTACTCTGCAGGTGCACAATTTTACCTAAAGTTCTTACATGTCCAGAGTTGGTTTGTTGTCTTCGTTGATGACGAAGTATTCTTAACTCAAAAATTACTCCACTCAGTATCTACATCATTCGCTCCTATATAAATATATAGTCATGGTTGGCCGGGCGGTACGAAGATGCCTCGTGATCTTGACTCTGTGATCAATGGCGGAAAGGGGCACCACGGTTACTTTCGAATGATCACCCACAACATTGAGATGAACGATTCTATACGGACATATATCAGGTATTGCGAGGCTTTTGACGAGGCTGATTTCCAACGTCGAAAACGAAGTGAGTGAACAAAGGTTCGTGAGCCACTTGAGTGAGTTTGCAATAGTCCCTTACGTCATTTAACCCATCACGTGACCATCGGCTGCCGGACGTGGCCAGTAGTGCTAATCTGGAAAAAATATATATACACACACACACACACAAAAGTACTACATTACTCCCGTGCAAAAAAAAAAAAAAAAAAAAAAAATGTAACAGCCTGAAAGATAACATAACTTCATAAAAAGAATACACCTTATTTTCTTTAGTTTTGTAATCAATAACTTGAAAGTGTTTTTCGATGTTTCATTTCAAATTCACCAAATACATTGTACATGTCCAGTTGCAACATGTACCCCGAGAGACAACACACTGGGCGTATTCGGCTAGTGTATGCTGACTTATTAATAAAGGGGCCCAGCAGGCACCTCTACCCAGGATGGTTTTAAAAGCATCATGGCCAGAAATGTGCAGCATTTACGCGATACGCGAGGGCGCAACAGTAGGGCTTCACGTGACTCAACTAACCAATCACAGCACAAGAATGGCATCGCACACAGACTCTGTGATAAGTGCTCAGCCCATTGTCAAGTAGTGTTAGTTCATGGTAACAAGCGTCTCATATGTGCAGAGAAGTTTATTATTATAATATATATTGTTCTTATTGTTACATTATTAAATCTAACTCTGTATCCAAGTAGTAACTATACTGTACCAAGTCAGGTACTGATGATGTACAGAGGTCATATATTCCAGAATAAGCCATTACCACTGATTTATAACTTTCATTGTTGTTTAATATGTTATTCA